GTCCTTTAATTGGAAAAAACTCCTTGTACCCTCGCGGGGGCGGAAAAAGGAGGTGTGACACAATTTATAAGGGAAATTCTGCCGAAATTTTTGAAAATTTAGGGAGTTAACCAAAATTTTGAATCCCTTGGAAGAGTGAGTAGTGCTAAGTAAACTTAAGAGGTTCAAGGACCTAAGAAATGATTGTTAGCTTAAGAATAAGGCCCTAGCAACATTCGAGGACGAAAGTTTTTAAGGAGGGAAGATTGTAGCACTCCTCAAATTTATAAAAGTTTCAAGACACGCTAAATATATAACTTAATTTTTTTTTAAAAAAACTTAAATTATACTTCTATTACGGATTTAAACCCGTGTGATTAATTTTGAGTTACTTCTCTATTTATAATTAATTGGATATACAATTAGGGAAATATTAATAACTTTAGTATTATTAATTATTAAAAGTAGGTATAATTAAATACTAGTTCAAGAAACAGAAGCCGTTTCAGCGAGATACTCACGCAAGCAATGGAAAATTCTAGGGTTCTTCATAACTCACTTATTCTTGAACTCAGGTATATAAAATTCCCTATTCTCAATTACCATACAGTAGTAATAGGTAAGAATTGAATAGTTAATTCAATTCTTTCTCTGTATCAATAGTAAATCCCATGTTTAGGTGTGAAACTTTGATATTAATTAAAATGCACGGGTTGTTGTAGAATCAATTGTTTGACGAGTATAAATTGGACTGGGGTCTACGTATTGGCTCGAGGAGTATTGAGGTGAGTTGATATAACTCTTTACTAAAGTGGTTTAACTCACAAAAGCACGCACACAAGGTGTTTGATGAATTGCATAAAAGAGTTAATATATACTTAATTGGAGTAGTAAGTGCCTATTAGCTTAGAATTATTTTCTAGCTAAAGTTTAGATGATTATTTAGATATATGTGCATAAATTTCAGATTTTTATGTTATTCTGATATGCCACNCTACTTGTGCCAAAGTAGGGAGCACACGAGCCGAGGGTCTCATTGCTGAGAATTTACTTAGTCATGCTAAGGTGTGAGACATGAGCGCTGAGAACCATGAAGTGACACCTCGTGGATTGGGCCTATTCGATCAGGTTGGGATCGAACCCGTGCCGATCACACGGTGACTGAGACAGAATTAAGTCAGGATAGTTGGAACTCCCAAAGTATAAAGTGAAGTATATTTTTTGTTAAGAAAGAAAAAGAAAAGAATTTCTTTTAGAATATTCAAAAATTGCTATTATGCAATTATTTAGAATTATTCTTATAAGCTTTATGTTTTACATGCATTTAGAGCCTTTGCTCATAATGTATATGTTATTAAAGTTTCGCCCCCTGTTGTTGAGACTCACTAAGTACAATGGATGGTACTGACGTTCTCTTTTGGGAACCTACATTGGTCTGCGGTACAACGTAGGAACCGGATTTGCAGGCGAGCAGACTACAAGTTAGGACTTCCTTCTCTTCCAGTGCTATTGGTGAGCTCCGCTTTTGTTCGTGGAGTATTCCTTAGAGTCATCTTTTTTTAGTTATTTCTTTGTTACTAAGAGAACTGGCCAGGAAATCTCATGTCCTGAGCAGTGCGTCAGTTTATCAGTAGAGGCTGCATAGACATAGTCGTTGAGTTAAGATTCAGATGTTTTTGATAATAACTTAGCAGTATTTCATTGGTTACTATGGATAAAGTTTTGAAGTTGATTTATTTAAATGTTTAAATTAATTAAAAGTATGTGGCTAGAGTATTGCCTTGTTGCATATAAAGTTTGAAGTTATAATAGATTTGATAAACAGAGATGGTTCGCTCGGTCATGTTTAGCGATCGAGTGCCGGTCCCGGCTTGTTCAGAAAATGGGTCGTGTCAGCTATCAAAGCTTCTGACATACTGTACAAAATGAACCTCTGTCTACAAAGCCTTTAAGAATATTTGACATCAAATGAGACAGGGTACCGGCCTACCCATAAGTCTGTAGCAAAATTCTAACACGATGACTAGAGACTCGGCTGCATACCGAATGAGGTGGAGTCTTACCGATCCTTCGCTGAATGCTTACCTCGTCTACTATGAGGTCTCGTCAAATTAATTTTCTATACCTGCAGGCATGAATGGAGTGTCCCCAACAAAAGACGAATAATGTACCGAGTATGTAAGACACATAAATACGTATATAGTAGACGTGGAAGAAACATGGAGTACATGACTCGACCTGTAAGTCTAGATAACTCTGTAAATCATAAAATACTTAGTGTCATGCATATGCGTATGAATGTCATGTCGTGCATAGGTACATGTGTTCATAACATCATCAAACCTCTAAGGGCATCCCATAATCTCATCTCGGCCAATGTGGGCAAATCATCAATGTATAACAGCTGATCAGGTGGTGGTGCGTATATAACGCCGTAACCTTTTCCCATATCCCATATACATATAATGTGCGTATATACGCGTATATAACGTCATCTGGTCATGGGTCAATGTAGGGGTGGGTATCAGTCGAGTCGATTATGAATATTATCGATTTTGCCTATCGGCTATCGATTTATAAATATGATAAACCAATAAGATATTGGTTATCGGTTATAGGTTAATCAGTTATTGATCATTATCGATTTACCTGATAAGGTAAAACTAAAATAGATTCTGCATATGAGAACAATTTTGTTTTATGTTGTAGAATTTTTTTAAAACAATTTTATAGTTGCTTGAAAACCATTGATATTATTATGCACTTCCTAAGTGTTCAAACATCTGAGAAAAAGCAAAACAATAGCAACACCATATTCACTAACATGCTAAAATGCGTAAACTGGAAATCAGCTTTCCCAGATACCCTATTATTTAAGAAGAATTTTTCCTGTGTAAAACGGGGCCAACGATAAGCTATAAACACTAATCATTGTGATGGTAAGGCCCTACTAATGCTTTTCCTTTTTTCTGAGATAGCTTTTATAAAACAGATTCTCTGCAACATAAAACAATAGAAACAACACTTCAACTAATAGTTCAATACTACAAACAATCCAAAGTAATAGTTCAAACACATTAATAAAAATACAAAGTAGTAGCAACCTTAAGATTAACAAGTCCAACATCCAAACATAATACTAATAATTCAAATTTAAGTAAACCATATAACAACTATTCAATCCTTATAGGCTTCACCAAATTGCGCTCCAAACAACGCTTAACATGCCTCATTAAGGACTTAGTACCAGTTTCTCGTGCATTGTAACGTAAAATAAGATGACAATGACTACATCTTACTTTCCACCATCCATTATCACCTTCTTCAATCCTTTCGTAGTGACTCCAAACATGTGAGATAGCTTTGAGACCACAAAGTCGAGGCATGGTTACACCTAGGGGTGTACATGGACCGGGTTGATTCGATTTTTATCAAAACCAAACCAAACCAATTATATCGGTTTGGATTGGTTCGGTTTTGTCGGATTTTTCGGGTTTTTTTGTTACATGAATATTATTTCAATCTTACTTTATTAAAATTATAGATAAAGCTTTGATAAGTGAATATATGTTTAGTAAATATGGAAAAAATTGACAAACATAAGTTCTATTAAAATATTCTAATGAGAGGATTTTTTTTAGTAACACATTGTAGTTATTTTCTTAGTCGTCTAACAATAATTTTTCGTTAATTTACGCTTTCAAGGTTAATACATGAGAGGATCCCAAATATTTCTATATTTTCTAAAGAAAAATCACTATAAAGTCTTAAAAATATAAATAAAATTTATATATTTATATGTCGGTTTGGTTCGGGTTTTTTTACTCAATACCAAACCAAGTCAAACCAAACCTAGTCGGGTTTAATCGGTTTGGTTTGGTTTTTCGGTTTGGCGGTTTTCCGGTTTGGTTTGAACACCCCTAGTTACACCTATTAAACATAAAAAGAAAATATATTAAGTCAAGTAATATTTGTAATCATACTATGTGTTATATAAGTTGAATAGTAATTAACTTACCAAAGTTTTAACTCACAACTATCTAAGGTTCTACACATCATCATCACAGGGTTCGTTTCCAAGATTGGTAAAATCTATGAGAAGGAATATATACCAAAGTTTTAACTCACACTCCTTAATATGTGTAAGGAGTGATTTTGTACCATTTTCTTTTGAATCGGCAAAATATTCTTTTTTGCAATGTTTACATACACCCTTTTGATTCCCTTCCGGATCAATAATTTGGTCAAAATGTTCCCATGCAACAGACCTCTTTTTTCGTTGTCTCTTTACTTTCAATTGAACTGATTGAGATTGTGCTGTTGCATTTAAATTAGAAGCTCCACTTTCACCAATCACTTTATCAATCATGATATTTACAGCCAAGCGTTTGTGTCACTGTAAGTTTGATTTAAAAGAAATCAAGAAGCGAGGCAACAAAATCTTAAAATGAAACACATAAAAATTCGACACAAGATAACACTAAAATTTTTCCGGAATTTTACTAGCTCATCCTTAAACACAATCAGGTGAAATAAAGCAGGCAAAACAAACCCCAAAATAATACACACACTGCTCCCAACAAGTGACAAGAAATCAGCAAAATTAGGCACCACTAATGCCACAAAAGTCACTGCCAAAACCACAAGCCATCTAATCCACAAGCAGTAACTGCCTTCACAAAATCACTTCATAAACTGGATTCACAAAAGCCATTGCCAAACCCGCTTCCCTTTGTATAGAAACTTTCTAAAAAATTACTACTCTGTAGTAGTTAACGTTTCTTTTTAGGGCAAAAGACAATTAAATTATGCAGTTTGTTAAAAATACCTAGCAAGAAAAATGAGAGGAAAATAAAAAAGTAAAACTGAACTGAAATAAAAAAGAAGAAATATGAGAGGATTTGGAAATATATTCGTAAAAAGCAAGAGGAAAATACCCTTTGAACGTAGGAAGGTGAGCCGTGAGGCGGAGAACTGGTGACTGGTGAGGGCGTGCCGTGAGCCCTGAGGCGGACTGGCGTAGAACTGGTGTGAGGCGGAGAACTGAGAAGTGAATATGTATATGAAACCCTAGTATCAGTATGTATATACTCCAGGGCAAACTAGTAAATTAGTTAACCCTTATTAGATTATCTATTTACCCAATAATAGAATTGCCAAATCGTGCCCGAACCGATAACTCAATAATTTTTTTTATCCGTTATCGAACCGTTAACCCAATACCGATAACCCAATAAATAATTAACGGTTCGGGTTATCGATTTTACCCGATATATGCCCACCCCTAGGTCAATGTACATGTATAAATGAATGTAATGCATGAGAAGTACGTCAACAAATCTCTCGGAATGTCATAAGACCATTATGCCTTTGAGTAATATTAATGAAGTAAACTTTTTTCAACTTACGTATTTTTCTGATACCCATGAACAGAAGATGTAATAATAAGACACATGAGAATTTCAAGAACATATGCACCTCTAATACTTCTATGAATAGAGCCATGTATGGAAGTTGTGCATTTCGTCGTTTCATTTATGTTGTATAGATCATGACAAAAGAAAAGAAAGGATAGTTTTAACATACTTGAGTCGATTCTCTTGACAATCCCTCTAACACACGTCGATTGCGACAAATCACGTAACGACGAATCGAAGTAGGGAAAAATCCGTATGATATTCTTGAGAAAGATTGCATTGTACTCCCTTAGAATCGCAAATATCACGCTGCTGTAGCGTTATGAAATTTTCATATGAATTCATGTTGAGAATTTGATTCCAAGAGTTATGAATTCATGTTGAGAATTTGATTCATGTAGCGTTATGAAATTTTCATATGAATTCATGTTGAGAATTTGATTCATGTAGCGTTATGAAATTTTCATATGAATTCCATGTTATGAATTAAAGACCATTCCATTTTGTGAATGCCTTTGTTACTAGCAATACACCTCCACAATAATAATGTAGGAATATGAATTCATTTGAGAATGCCAACGTTACTAGCACACGCATCTCCATTCTCCACACTAATGATGATATATCTTAAGACTTTTGGTTGTGGCCCCACTTCAGGGGATGACTAAGCCACTCATCCTCTAATTGTGCCACCAAGTTACATGACTTAAAAGTCATTAACTTGGGCTTTAACTAGCTGTCACATCAGCCCATCAATCTTTATCAAAATATGCTTAATTGCATAGTTAATCTCCCGCTAGAAATCCATAATTATTCAATTATTCATATTATTAAGAATTATCTCAAACTACTTAAATACTACTTACTTTTAACATACTTTATACACTTCACTATTATGGTAATGTGGTACCTTGTATGACACTAGTCCATAAATACCGGATATTTTAGTTCGGGCCATATTTCATCCCAAAATATCAAACTTCGACAAAAATTCATTTTTTTCGATTTGCTCACCCTCTCACCTTCACGAATTTACTCAATACTTGTTTAAAATAACATAATTCTTATAATCTCATTCCCGAACATACGTCGATTAATTTACGACGAAATTTTAACGTACAAAAATGCAAGGTGTAACATCTCATTTTCGAGCTTTCATCAATTTATGGTGTACTTTTACGTACTAAAATATGGGGTGTAACATGTCTAACCATATATTCCCTTTTTAGGCTTCTTGTATGAACGAACCAAAAATGTATTTGAAAGGGACTTTTACATACCTATACACTATTGGAAACTTTATTACCCTCCCTACTCAAGTTTCAATTTAATTACCTCATATATACAAATTTACCAATTATATACAATTTAGGAATTAAATGGGTAACCTTTTTTATTAAGAATCAATTATTTCTCATCCTTATTCTCTCCCTCATGCGCTCTCTTTCTTCGTCTCTCTCTCTCTCTCTTTCTCCCCTGCGGTTTTTTTTTCTCCGTATCTCTCTATCTCTCAATCCGGTCCAGTAAAGTAGAGCAAATGAAAAGAGTGCAACAATTCCACCATTGACAACCATTAAAAAGCTTTGAAGCTTTGAATTTGAATTTGGGTTTTTAAAAAACATTATTTGTTTGAATTGGGTGTTGTTACAAACAATTGGGAATTCTCTGTACGTCTCTCTCTATCTCTCAATTCCTAATTCCAGTAGTGTAAAGCAAAGAAAAAGAGAGTAGCAATTCCATCATTGACAGTNTATAAAAATTATATTTACGTGGTATGATATTGTAGTTGTATATAACTGGGTAGAAATAATATATAAAAGTTGTATAATATATAATTAGTTGTATGAAATTTATTTTTATTATGTATAAATCAGATACAAAATATACAAAAGACATATTGTATAAAATTTAAATAAAAATATTATCCAAGTTGTATGATATTGTAATTGTATTTAACTTGGTAGAAATAATAATGTAAATACTATGTATATTTATATTTTGTGTCAATATGTTGAATTTGGTTAAATCAGCTATTTACATGCTCGATCCCCTCAGTCTCGAAATCACTAACAGTGGAGGCATTTGAAAAACTTCAGGACTAATTGCACAGTGCAAATGAGATGCAAAATCACAACCAGCACAGTAGTAAAGCCATATTGTCGATGTTCATTATTACATTGCAGACATCACAAATATATGCGATACTCTTATCATCATAAGGAGAACCGAAGTGGAGCCCCAATTGATGTGGATGTTCGTCAATAAGTATTGAGCTTGGACAAGATGCACACTGCAAGTGGATATCAAATTCGCAACAAGCACACCTAAAGCAAAATCCATTACCAGCAGAGCCACAAGCTGTGCAAATATACGAACGGACCGAGTAAGTTGGAATTGGCAGAAGAGTCAAAGGATGGGAAGGATGAGATGAATGATTGAGAAAACGAGGAGTGTTAAAGCAGTTTTCATGAAGGAAATATTGACAGGTATTGTAGCCATAGAATGACGTATTACTAAATCTAAATTCCTGGGGTCATTTGGTAGGAGGTATTAGAAAAAATAATGCAAAATTTGTTCTATGCATTACTAATACCTTGCATGGTACATTTTTTCAATATGTGTATAACTAATACTCGTATTAGTTATGCATCATACTTGGTATTATCCTATGCATTAGTAATGCATAGAAAACTATGACATTAGTAATACCAAAGCTATTAATGCATGCATTAGTATGTTTAAAGACAAAATTGTCCTTAAAGTCCTTTAAAGCTAGAGAATATGGAGGACATTTTTGTAAACAACTATTTTTCTTAAAAATAATGCAATGCATTATAATTTTAATACACCACACCAAACAGTAGATAAGAAATAATATATGCACAACTAATGCTTGCATTACTAACACATGCATTACTAATCCATGCATTACTAATATACCTTATTCCACATTATTCTTATACATCCTACCAAACCACCCCTAAATATATCAATTTGGAAATAAAAGGGGAGAGAGAGAGAGGAGAGAAAAAAGGAAAATGATGTAACTAATTCGCTTGATTAAAGACACAAATAATGGATTTGTGAGCCTTTTAAGGTGGATTGTATATATTTTGTAGACTAAACATTGGTAAGTCAGGTAATTATGTAAACATGGACATTTTTTGTAATAAAGTTTCTAATTTTGTATAGGTATGAAAAAATCCCTATTTGAAACTCACAGCTTGTTTGGATGGTTATTCCCCGTTGTATCGTATTGTATTGTTATCCCAAAACAATGTTTGTTTTGATTATTACATTAAAGTTGGTGGTATTGTATTGTTAAGTCCATTATTCGGGAACAATGAAAAGTCCCCTTTTTTGAAACAACCGATTTGGTGTGGTGGGATTGTTTCCTATTTTTCTTTTCAATTATGCCTTAACTTATTACTTCACAATTATATTTTATCTTTTAACTTTTTTTGCTATTTTAACTCCAAATATTCAACCTATAACCTACTTTATTTTTTTTTCCAGAACTTCTGCCGCCAACGTTAAAGGTGTTTTGCTGACTTCTGTTTTATTTTTTTCTCTTAATTTGCTTTTAACTCAATTCTAATTAGCTGTGCTCCTTTGTTTTGCCTTCTTCTGTTTCACTCCTTTGTTTTACTTTCTTAAAGTGTTTTGCCTTCTTCTGTTTTGTTTTTTAAAATTATTTTTATGCATAATTTTTGATAAATTTAATATTTAAACAATTGAGGGTATTTTAGTATACTTATCAGTTACAGTATAGTACGATGCAGTCAAACTAAACAGCAAAAAATTATTTAACAATAACAAACAATACAATCTATCCAAACATTGTATTCATAAAACGATACGATACAATACGATACAACACAATACAATATATTATAAAACGATGTAGAACAATGATCTAAACGGAGTGTCAGTTGCCAAAGTTCAGAAATTATCGGGACCTTCAAAGAACTGTTCTGAATAAAGTCATATATTCTTTTTGCAGGGGCGTGGGTTGGTTCTGCTTGTGTTCATATAATTCACAGAGTAGTTACCAAGTTGTACTAATATCATTCAAAACTTGTGCAAAGGATCCTAAGTGAACTAATTACTACTTGGTAGTCTCTTTGTGATTATAGGCAAAAAGAGAGCTGATGCGCCTGTTCTTAATGATAATAATACTAGGTAAAGCAGGCCAGTGATATCTCGTTTAAGCTCTTTATGGCAACTTATTTGTGGTTTTAAGATAGCTTTTGACTATTATTAAAAAACTTATTTGGAGACCAATGGGCAGAGCTCCAGTTCAAGCAGTTGAAATTAATAATCAAGACCTCCTCTCAGAGCTAGAGCTATGGAGTGCGAAAGACAAAGGCTGGCATTTTCATAATAACGAGGTGCCCTTTTATTTTGAATTTAAAAAAGTGATAGTTTTATCCATGATAACCGTAGGATCTCGCCCCGTGAGGCCAGAGTGAGCTTAGCAGTCAGCCATCATTTGAATTATATTACGGATAATTTGCCTCATTCTTCAGCCAACGGCTTTGCTCAATATTTTCTGATTGTGTGCACAACCATATGACAATATTTGTCATGTAGTATTATATATGTAGAGTTAGGAGAAAAGAGAACAAAAGCATCATTTCCATGCTTGGATGGAAAAGCTAGGAGGGTGACCTATCACATGCAAAGAGGAAAGGAAAAGGACACCAATTTCGCTTTGGTTAGACAAGAATAAAAGAATTAAAAAAGGAAAAAGCTAATTTGCAATGTGTACAGGTTGTTCTTCTTAGTAATTATAGGAACTCATTGCCTTCTGTATCTTCATTTTCATTATATTTTGTTTTATAGAGCTGGGAATAGCTAGTGAAAAGGAGAAGGAAAGGCTTGGTGTTGACCCAAGTGAAGTTTGTTTTAATGATTGACAAAGGACCTCAAGCATGAACCAGGTCCATACACAATGTACATAGACACGGACAAATTCGAGCATAAGGGCTGCACGTGAAGAAGATAAGCCTAAGTTGTTATAACTAATATCTCCTGACAGAAAAGGTTGCATAAGTGATAAGGAGAAGGACTCCTTATTCGAAGAGAACTTTATCTAAGATAAGAGAAGGGTTAGAAGTTGAAGATAACTAGAACTCTTCCATCAAGGAAGAGTATAGCATTGAAACTCTAGTTATTTCCTATTCTACTAACTCTATAAATTACAAGATGTTCTCACTTTACAGGCACACACAAAAGCTGAAGTTAAACGTGAGTTGAGAGCAAAATGGTAAGACATTTTGCAAGCAATTCTTGTGTAATTCAAGTGTGCGAACCTAAAGCTACATGAACCAGATAGAAGAACCAGTTCTAAGTGTTTGTCTTTTATTTTAGTTTCATTGTAGTAGGTGTTTTCAAATTGTACCTTTTAGCTTTATCTAGAAGCAATTGTATTAGGTACTCTGAGTATTCAAGTTAGAGTTAACTTGAAGTTGTCGCAACAGTTAGAGGCTGGTTGCCATAATGGTATTAGAGGTAATCCTTAGGTTTACAAAGAATTTTGTAAATGCTGTTTTGGCTCAGTAATTTAATGAAGTGTTGGAAAAAATCCTACTGAGTAGTAGGTCGTGATTTTTTCACCTTTTGAGCCGGGTGTTTTCCACGTAAAAATACTTGTGTTCTTTACTTTCCGCATTTATTATTTCTGCAATAGTACTGTAAGAAACACATAGAAGAACCAAGTTTTTCTATAATCTGTGCACGCGAAAATTGGACACCACGCAAATCACCCTCCTCCCCCTCCTTGTGTGACATTGAAGTATAAAACATCAATTGGTATTAGAGTGGATTATCCTTGAAGAGCTTACACCTTAGGAGAATATCAACAACATGAGTGCACCACCTAGAAAATGGGAAGGGCAATTCACTACTAGATCACCACTATTTAATGGCCAATACTACTTTTAGTGGAAAAACATGATGAGAGATCATATTATAGAAGAGGATTATGAGCTCTGGGACATTGTCACTGATGGTCCACTGACTACCTTGAAGAAAAATGCTGAAGGAGTAGATGTGCCAAAGACAAGAGTTGATTGCACTGCTAAGGACTTGAGAAAGTGGGAAAAGAATGCTAAAGCCAAGAAATAGCTTGTCTGTGGACTTGGTCCTGATGAGTACAACAGAATCAAAGGTTGCACCACTGCTAAGCAAATTTAGGACACACTGCAAATGGCTCACGAAGGAACACCTCCGGTGAAGAGATCCAGAGGAACCCTAATGTACTCTTAATATGAGAGTTTACTATGAAGAAAGGAGAAACTATTCAAGAAATATACACAAAGTTCGCTATACTGACAAATGAACTAAAATCTTTTGGAAGGATTATTCCTGAAGAAGAAAAGGTCAAAAAGATACTTGTATGGGTCAAAATCAAATCAAAGAAAATTGACATGCGAAGACAATTGTCATGAGTAACCTGCGAATCGAATTGTGGTGTCTGGCCGAGGTCGACTAGTAAGGCCGAGGTCGAGCAGTGATCATCAACAAGGCCGAGGTCGAGCAACGATCAACAACAAGGCCGAGGTCGAGCAGTACAGATAGAAGTAACAACCAGTTTTACTTTGGAATCTTCAAAGAGAATATTCTACTGAATATTCTCTCTAATTGTACTGTTTAGGGCTTCTTGGGATATCCCATATAAAGAGTATGAGAGACAAGGGAAAAAGGGGGAACTAGAACAGAGAACATCTAAAAAAGCAGACTCTCTCTTTCTCTAGAAAAAATAAAAGCACATCTCTCTAAAAAGATTAGATTATCTATCATCCCACACTCCTCATCAGATCCGAAATGGGCCCTAAGATTCTTGTATTTGTCTATCATTCATCTTTATCAAATGAAAGAGGATCTGCCTCACTCAAGATTGGGTGAATCTTCTCCTTTATTTACATTTTATTGCCATTTAATGTTATTTATTGCATGGTTTTTTATACTATTAGATCCGGCCATAACTACTGGCAGCATTTGTACTCAACTATATTTTTCTATTCATGTTATCTATATCAGATCTAGAATTAATTATCTTTAACTAGGATTTACCGTCTATATTCTTATTTAATTAGTTTAACAAAAGGTTTCATACTTTTTGGTCAAACAATTTGGCGCCGTCTGTGGGGATTTTCTAGTTATAATTTTAGTTTTCTCTAGATCTCTAAAAATCAATTCTTACCCACTTTCTCTTTCTCTATATACATAGCCCATATATATGTAGTGATGAATATGAAAGTTTAGGGATCTGCTGCTAGGGATACACTTTGCTCTTATTACCTCAAATTTGTTGGATTATGAGATGAGAGTATACACTCTTGAATTAGCTATTAGAAAAGAGATTATTATCTTTCTACACCATCGGCTTTGGTATTTGTTGTACTACAAATATGAACATGAATCATCTGACTGTTGAAACTGAAGAAACTTTTGCTAGCTTGCTTGAATTTGTAGCCAACAACAATATAAAGGCATTTAAAAGTTGGATGGAGCGTAATATATCTGGTATTCATGAGATTAGGCCGTGATTGCGGGTCTAAAGCTAGCACTCGAGTATAGAGCAAAACGAATCATCCTATGATGCACCTCTCAGCTCGTTGTCAATCAAGTCATAGGGACTTTTCAAATCAAGGAACAAAGACTGCAAAAATACCTGGCCGAGATCTGCAAGCGGTTACCCGAGTTCGATGAAGACCAGCTCGACCAAATCTCTCGAGCACAGAATATCGAAGCAGACGACCTTGCCAAAGTGGTAGCGGCCACTAAAAGCATAACCAGAGAAGGGAAATTGGTCACTCCCCTCCACTATTTTCTAAGTGGGATAGAAGCAGGAGCATTCTCCCACATGCGCGAATAGGGAACGATCACTATCATATAAAAAAATATATGGTGTGCCGCTTCGGCCTCCCCAAAAAGATCAGTTGCGA